CAGGAAATGCAACAATGTATCATTTATTGCCCTTGGTCCGGACCAAATGAAGCAAACTACAGATGTAAAAGCACCCATAAACTAATATCCAGAAACACCAAAAGTCATGCTGTCCAGAGATTGCTTTGCGCAAACATACTGTATAATGAATTGGACACATTGTACCGATGAGGATATCACATGCACTTTGATTCATTAGGAGCCTTCTTGTGATGACTGACAGGGGCTCTTATTTTGGGCATCTTGGTGTTCTACTGCAGATGGATTTTTTCAGTCATTAGTCATGTTTTTCTGAAAAAGTAATTTAATGGGTGGGGGAATGATGGCAGCTGCATACTAGAAGAGCATACAGAGGGCTTTTCATGCCACCTGGGTTGGGCAGAGTAACTGAGCCATACAAAGCCTAAATTGAGGAAGTGCAAAGAGAACTTCTGCGGTATAGAAGAGTTGCCAAACATGTTGATGTATGATAAGGATTGAAATGAGTGCAAGCATGTTCTCTCTACCCTGTTTACCCTCCAGTGCTCACCCAAATTTTATATATGGGATAGACAAAAGAAGGAAAAAACTATTTTTTAAATATCTCCTAAATGATGTTTAACAGAGAAAAGACATTTTCACAGTATGTCTGATTATATTCTTTCTTCTGGAGAAAGTCTTATTTGTTTTATTTCAGCTAATATAAAAACAGTTTTTATTAAAAAAAAAAAAAAAAAAACATTTTAAGGTCAAAATTATTAGCCCTCTTAGGCTTCTTTTGTTTTCAATAGTCCACAGAACAAACCATCGTCAATAACTTGCCTAAATACCCTAACCTGCCTAGATGACCTAATTACCTACTGTAGTTAAGCCTTTAAAAGTCACTTTAAGCTGTATAGAAGTGTCTTGAAAATTATCTAGTAAAATATTATTTACTGTCATCATGGCAACGATAAAATAAATCAGTTATTAGAAGTGAGTTATTAAATCTATTGTTTAGAAATGTGTTGAAAACATCTTTTTTGTTTAGTTTTTTTCTAGGAAGTTAGTTATAAATGTATCAGTCTGTATTGCTTAACAAAGACAGACAATCTTTAATGTTTGATCAACGTTTCTTCCTGTGCTCGTACAAACCAGATGAAATTGTAATCAATTGGATGTTTTTATCAATTGACGAAGCAAAAACCTTATGTCAATACTGTAAAGTAAATAATGCAATTAAGTGCATTTACCAAAAAAAAAATTAAGACTTAAGACTTTTAAAAAATTTGATTATTTACATCTGTCAGTTTTATTTTATCTTTATTATTTATACTTATTTCTACCTACCTACCTACCTACCTACCTACCTACCTACCTACCTACCTATCTACACACATTCAAATATCGCTCAGCTTAAATTAGTACACCCTTCACAAATCTCTTTTTAAATTAATATTTTCCATAGGATGCTTTACAATAATATATTTCCAAAGCCATATAGGCATATAGATAAGATTAACCAGTACCAAAGACGAAACTTGAACTAATCTATCAAAAATGTGTATGCTAAGCTATACACCGAAAAAAAAATCTTTAATACAATTTTAATAAACAGGAACAATTGAGAGAAACAAAAATGTTGGTCAAATTCTGTAGTTTGCTTTTTATGTAGGTGACAAGACTAGTGAAGTCACAGCAACAACAAAACATCAACACATCAACTGCACCATTGTAGTGATCAATGGTGTAATTACAAACTTGTGGCAAGTCAGTTGTGTATATATATATATATATATATATATATATATATATATATATATATATATATATATATATATATGAATATATATATGAATATATCATTGATCACTTACCCATTAATTATACCGTTGATTATACCAAAGTGATACTTAAAACCAATCAAGTCCTACTTTGTTGGTGTAGTTGTGTTTGATCATGGTTCGAGCTACACTCTAAAGCATCGGTGTCAAACATATGGCCCGCGGGCCGGATCAGGTCCACAAATGAATTTAATGCGGGCCACAAGATGATTCTGTGAGCTGCAATTTTTCAATAAAATATACTGCTGTTCCAGTTGTGTCCACTGGGTAGTGCAATAGCAAACTTAATTTCATTCCATTCAGAAGCCTGAATCAGTGTTAGTCTGCCAGTGGGTGAACATTGCTCCTAAATAGCATAAAAGTAAGAGAAATAGTGAATTTCTATTATTTCAACATCCTTTTTAAAATAAATTTAACCCATTGAAAAGGAAAGGTGTATAACAGTGTCATAACAAATAAAATTAAGTTAAAAATCACATTATTTTTTGTTTGTTGCTTGTAGTTGCCCATTTGTTTGCTGTGGGAAAAAGATGTTTTTCAATCCAGCTACCACTGCAAGTATATTTCAAACCTGTGGGAAGCACTGCACACTGAGCTGGGGTCCGTTCTTCGTACGTGGATTACTCAGTTAGCTGGATTTGGATATTGACGATTTGACACGATCCAGGATCGTTTCGTTCTTCAAAGCTGATCCGAGAATTGATGTCATGGCAACAGTTCTGCTAGGTCAAACCTGATTGGGAGCAGGTTCAATTCATATAAACAGGATTAGATCGGCTCAGTTCAAGCAAAGATAATACAGAAAGTATGTTCCGAATTCTGATATTTTCTTACAGTAGTAGTTATATACACTTGGGAAAATGGTACATATTTTTAACTATATATATAAAGTTATAGTCATTAATAAAATAAATAAAGTTATATATATTAATAAAACGTAGGCTATACAATCTGCACTTTAGAAATGAAAGTGCAAAGACTGCCATCTGGTGCAAAGAGAAAACTTATTGATATGAACTTTTTAGATTGCTTTAGTACAAATTGTGTATAATAGAAATGCACAATATGTGACTTTTTTTTTAAAGCAATAATACATTTATGCAGTCATAAACATGTTTTGATAGTTAATATGCCGGTGATTTGAAGCTTCACAAAAGTTGCAGACGCCTTTACCAATATGAAAATGCTTTTGTAAACAACCAGTTATTCTTTACACCGATTAAAAAACGGCTACTATTATAAAGAAAATCTTTTCTAAATGTGGAACTAAATACACTGATTTGCATTGAAATACATGATAAATACACTTGACACATGAAAGTATAAAGCCTGCAGCTCACAACAAATGTGGAAAGTTCTTGCGTGTCATATTTAACAAGCCGTTTAATGCTAATTTGATGTAATTTTGCTCACATGGATAATTGAATATTAATCAGATGATGTCATTACGCTGCTGTGCCGTCAGCCAATCGTTGCATTGCTGATCATGATTTCGAGGATCGATAGATCTGTCCTTCATAACACACGCAGCGATCTCAGATCAGTTCATCCAGACATTCTAATCTGATTCGCGAACTTGTTTGAAGAACCAAATTAGCGAGAGATCAGTTATCAAGATTAAAAGATCCAGGATCTGCCAAATAATCTTAGATCATTTAAGCGAGGTACGAAGAACGGACCCCTGATCTCACGAGCAAATGTAACTATTTTATGTTTTGTCAGTTTAGTGGCTTTTTTGTACGAGTTCAGTCGTATGAAAATATACCATTTGAAAAAGGAGGCCGGGTACCCAACCACACCCCTAACCCAGCCCCCTGCTTAGCTAAAGTTTTACATTAAATGGTTGAAAAGTGAATTATGCATAGTGCAGTTATAACTGTTTAATATTTCAAGGTCATACATATTTTTCTATGTTGGTCACACCATGGATGACATCCTCTAGTGATGACTTCACAGAGTCACCTAATCACAATGCTGGATTTAAGAAGGCAATATCTTTTCAATCTAGCCTTCCAGGCAAAGGAATTTTTAAAAAAGTAAGCAAATGACATTTGTCTCCTCCTTTTTTCCTTACCTGAAAAATGGTCCGATCCTGTACTGTAATGTACAACTGTAAATTTTAGTATGAGCCGAACCGTGAGATTTGTGAACCATTACACCACTAATATTTGTATGAGCAACATCACATGATTAGCAGTGCAATATTACTGTATATCAGCACTGACAGAGCTGTGTGTTGGTTTGAGTCCCCAGGCCAAGTGCCTTAGAGACTCAGTAGTGCCATATCACACTGCTACATGTGCCATATTGGGTTTGTACAACAGTTCGACAGCATAATTGTGTAAATAAAAAGAGAATCAAACATGGAGAGTCTCAAAAATCCTTTTGTAAAGGGAACTACTTTCTTCTGCTATTCATTTACATCTGCAGCTGACTGTCAGAACAGCAGAACCCGTTGCTAATTCACAAACGTCACTTTAGAACTAGTGTTTGCATGATTCTCTAGCTTAATGTCTAAAGTGTTGACAAAACAAATGATTTTGCTCACATTTTAGGATTTTGAGTTTTGTCCAAATGGTGTTTTTTCAATATATTATGCAGAAATATTTAAATCCGTTCAATATTGGTTTTCCAGGGGCAGCATGGTGGCTCAGTGGTTAGAACTGTCACCTCACAGCAAGAAGGTTGCTGGTTCAAGTCTTGGCTAGACCAGTTGGCATTTCTGTGTGTAGTTTGCATATTCTCCCTGTGTTTGCGTGGGTTTCAATCGGGTGCTCCAGTTTTCCCCCTCAGTCCAAAGACATGTGCTATAGGTTAATTGAATAAACTAAATTCTCTGTAGTGAATGAGTGTGTATGGGTGTTTCCCAATACTGGGTTGCAGCAGGAAGGGCATCTACTGCGTAAAACGTATGCTGAAATAGTGCTGTGGTGACCTCTGAAATAGAGACCAAGCCAAAGGAAAATGAACGAATGATGAATAGATTGCTTCCCCACAGGTCCGATAAAACAGTTCAACAGACTTTCTTTCTTTCTTTCTTTGCACAACTGTTGTTAAAATGCTGTAGGTAATTAAAGATATCTAATGCCAAATTACAAAGTGATATCCATTATCTTTGTGTACAAACACTGAATACATTTTATGTGACAGAATGTTAACACCTAATATCGTAAGTAAAAAACTATGCTTTCCTGACAGGATTTTCCATTCTTCAAGCCATTATGGAAGCAGCAGTAGCAAACAACTGGCAAGTTACAGCACGGTCGGTGGGAAGCATAACGGACCCCCAAGAGTTCAGGCGCATCATTGAGGAAATGGACAGAAGACAGGAGAAGCGCTACCTCATTGACTGTGAAGTGGACAGAATCAATGTCATTTTAGAGCAGGTAAAGTCTGCTTCTCCCTTTTACCCATTACTTACTCTCTCATCTGCTCATTTTTTCTGGATGGTGTTTTCCAAACAAGCTCACTCTCTCCTTTACTAAAATAGTAAAATTCATAGTCTATCGAGATAAATATAAAGAAATAAAAGTCTGCTATCATCATTTTGACCATAATCTGTTGGTTTAAATTGGAAGGATTAAATTGTGTCTGGAAAACAAATTTGTTTTATTTTTTTGTTCTGAATGTTGACTGGGTTGTGTCCTGATACAATTATCACATGTTTGTGAATTGATACTTTGAACAGCAACAAGGGAGATCCATAGTCTTCATGGCTTCTTCATGCCCCCCTAGAGCTTCTGCCTCCTGCGGATTTGGACTATTTGGTATTGATTCGGTGTTCAAATGGACTCATAGTGTCGACTCTTTTACTAAGGCCCTGTTTACACTAATGCGTTTTAGTTTTAAAAAAACACATACATTTTGCTAGGGTTACGCCATCCGTCTACACTTCGACAGAGTTTTTGTATGTTTTAAACGGAGTGTTTTGTAAATGCTAAAGAGAACGTTTTCATTCTAAAATGCTGCTGCTCCGTCTCAGTGGGGATGGGGGAAAACTGAGACATCTGAAAATGCAGGTGGGGCTGCCGACATTTGCCTCTCTGCTTGGGGCTTTTTTTTTCTCAATATTAAGAAGCCTACACATAGTTCAGTCCTGCATCCTTTTCTTGTAAGTTCAGACTTTACAAGTTTGATATGGAAAACAGACTCAGGACATGTAGGTACATTTTCAAAGGGAACAGTGTACTTTATAACCTCATTCACATCATCCTGGCAATGTTGTTTATCTATAGCCTCTAGCCTCTATTTAACTATAGTATCTTAACAACAAAATGAAAACATGATATAAGGAACTACTATTTTCATTTTGATATTTACAACTTAACAGACATGCTGACAAGACAGAAATGTTGAGGCACCGTGCTGTATATATGAATGTCATCTTCACTGTATGCGTATTCATAACAAAACAGAGCCCATAACATTACTGCCTCCTTTCATTTTCATTGAAAATATGAAACATAGGCTACCCTCTCTTTTGCTGAATATCAGTTTTAATAATGAATAATGCCCATTATAAAAGTAAAATGTACAATAAGTTTATACATTATAGGAAATAAAGGCAAGCAATCAGTTAATATACAGAATGCACGTGGTTACATTAATTATCTTTGCGCTCAGCCAAAACACGTTACCCAAGAACAAGTAATAGATTCAAAAGACCAAAGTCGAGGAATATGTTGTTAGATAAAGGCAACAAGATTAATTAAATATCACGTTTAACAAATATAGTGAGATTAGATCACAGCTTTTATCTGGCTAGATGCAGCGCATGCCAGAAAGTGTGTGTGTGTGGTCACATGATGTGCATTTTCAGTGTTTTAGTGTAGACAGAGAGCTGTTTAGAATGCTAAGTGAAACTCCAGTGTGGACGTGGATCGTTTTCATTCTAAAATGTCATTTTAAAACTAAAGTGCACTAGTGTAAATTCAATGTATTTCTGAGAATGAAAGTGAAACAAATTTTTCTACCCAGAAGTGCTGTTTGTTTGTTTGTTTGTGGAGTTTAGGCAGGTGTCTTCATGATTTGTGTTTGAATAGCGGAGGTTGGAACTGATTATTGGGACAATGAGCTCAGATAAACAAGTCTGCATTTTAGTATTTCCATGCAGATTTGTAAAACAAAGAAAATTTGTTTTCATAAAGAGTTGGGTCATTTAAAAGTTCACATTTCAGGCTTTGCAGGTATGTCTTTCAGGTCTATGAGCCAAATATTAACAGATACAAATCTGTTTGCCAATCATGTCATCAGAGGACATAGAAAGAGTTGAAATTATGAGTATTTACAAACAAAAATAGACCCTTTACAGTTTTCAAATCTTTTATGGTTTATGTGCTAAAACAATGCATATATGTCTTTGTTGACCCAAGGGTTAAGGCTTGGAAGGGACCTTTCAGCTGAAACTCCGAGCTTCTCCGCTCTCACTGTCTAATATAGTGGGGTGGTCTGGGGGTGTGAGGGCATTCCCAGATAGAGTGTGCAGTTGTGATTAAGATTTGCCCACAAAATATTATGACAAAATCTCCCCAGACTACCTAAAGCATGTAAATTCTCAACATCTTGACTTCCTACAGTATGTCATTACTCACTCACCCAGAAATGTGTGTGCTTGTTCTGTTCCTCTAGTAAACCCCATTGACAATATAGATAGATAGAGTTCCTGCTAGATAGAGTTCTTCCTAGATAGAGTTCCTGCAGCATCTTCGGCATGCTGATTTTGCAGATGAGACTTATACTCTAGACCCAGGACATGTATTATAATGCTTCTGTCAGCCACTGTACTAGGCTAAGTCCTTCATGTGTGTTCATGCTTATGCCTTTGGGGATTCTTGTTTGCTCATGCTTGGCAGCATTGTCCTCAAACTCGTAATTCAGTTCAATGGTTATGCCACTTTCCAGAAGCTTCCATCTGTCATTACAACATACTGTATCTCATTGCGACTGACCCTTAAACTACTACTAATGTGAAGCTAAATGCTGAGAACTGTTTTTGGTTCCTTGACACAAACCTGAACAAGGGACTGCATCTGGGCAGCTTATTACCTATATATTTATGGCAGTGTCATCTTCAGTCAGTTGTTTTTTTTCTTTCTGTTTTTTGGGGTATCATCAAGCATTGGTTAAACTGGATCTAATTGAAATAATCTCTCTGGTCTTGCTAATGCTGATAGCTCAGATATGTTTCTGGTCTGCAGTCATACTGCAAGCTGCACCAAGTGCAGATTCCAGATAGGACAACAATATTATAGAGTTTTGAGTTATTTATAGTGTCTTAGCATGAACTGGGTTTTTTGATCTGAAGGTGTTCAGTGCCGACTGGGAATTGGAACAAGCCCCCAGAGAGTATATAAAGCTGAGTTAAGCTTTAGAAGGGGCAATGGTGACAGCTTTTACTGCCCTGCTATAAGGAGTATGTCAAGCTAATGCAATAATTTATAAGCATTGCCTTCACAGTGCGATCACAGAGGGGCTTGTGAGGAAAACTAGCTTGTGATCTGTGGTTAACACTCTTTTACTCTCTGAGAACATGACATGCCTGTCATATGCCATTAAACTGTTTGTGTATATAGTAAATGGTGCTACAAAATAATTTTTAAGAAGTCTGTTTTGATACACTTTTTTTGTTTTGGACTGATACAAAAAAGTGACGTGGCTCTCTATTTAGTGCTTTCAAGATGTGCTGGGTGTGTGGGAGAATAAAAAACACTGAGAGGTAATGTTTCACCTAAATTTATTTTGGTATTTGTTTGGACATGTCAGAATATATGCAATCAAAATAAATCTTTAAGAGTTATTTGTCAATTGCAGGTAAAAGAATAAATGGCTAGTAATAAAATTGAAGGAATAATTTACCTAAAACATATTTATTTTCTTATGTCTTGTGTCATGACTGAATTCAATTTTGGAAAAATATCTTTAGTCTTGTCGAAAGAACAAAATCCTGCTGAAAAATGTAAGACTAAAATGAAAAGTGTACAGTAAGTCATACGAGGTAAATACTTAAGACTAAGCCGCTAAAATCTCTTAAAAGCTCATAGGCTCTGGAGAGCATTTAACGTGTCACTCTAACATTCTAATAGGATTAAGGTGTTAAGAGTTGTACTATTAGAGGCAAAAAGAGTGAGATGGTATAAATAGGATTCAGAAATAGTAAGCAAGTTCATCAACTAAAGAATTTGGAGCACTCGTGTTTGTGTTATCAGCATGTTTCTGAATTTGGTTGTGTTATCAGGATTTGCTGCACATTTTCATCATTGGCAGCACATTGAGATCTGAATGAAATTTGGCAAACTGATTTTTTTTTTCAGAAATAGAAAAAACAACCTTTCACATTGGCTCAATAAGAAAGTATGTGTTGAGACAACTGAAAAAATATCAAGTCTGCCCAATCATGTTACTGGCCCAATTGAATATTTTAAATTGTTGTATAATGCTTTTTTGGTTTCACCTAATTTAAAATTGCATATTAGTAAATTGAGCAGCACGGGGGTTTAGATTTTAGCACTGTTGACTCACAATAAGAAGGTCGCTGTTTCAAGCCTCTGCTGGGTCAGTTGGCATTTTTGTGTGGAGTTTGCATGTTCTCCTCGGGTCTGTGTAGGTTTCCTCTGGGTGCTCTGGTTTCCCCCACAAGTCCAAAGACATCTACTAAAGGTGAATTGGGTAAGCTAAATTGTCCATAGTGCATGTGTGTGAATGAAAGTGTATGGGTATTTCCCAGTGATGGATTACAGCTGAAAGGGCATTCGCTGTGTAAAACATTTGCTGGATTGGTCGGGTCAGTCTGTTGGCGGTGCCAATCTGTTGTTGTGACCACAGATTAATAAAGAGACCAAGCCGTAGGCCTGTCACAATATATATTTTTTTTTAGTACAATATATAGCACTAAAATCTATTGCGATTAATGTTGTAATTTTAAGGCCAGTTTTACTCATAAAATACCATTATAATGCAAGTACACTCTTCCAAAGAACAGAATATTTTATTCTTAAAAATATTGCATTAAATTAAAGTCATTTTAACAATGTAATAATTAGGCATGAGGCATTAAGTATTTGAAACATATTGTGTTTGTGTGCATGCATTTATTATGTTATCAAAAAATGTTAACAAAAATGGCAAAAGAATTAGAAAAAATTAATAGGTCCATCAGGCATGTGTTTGTTTTATTTAACCATACTGGCATTGACACCTCCAGTTGAGATGGAAATCAGTTAAGTTTTGCTAGAAATGGTTTTGACATATGGGCGAAATGTATTGCACCACCAAAATTGATTGAGGAGATGTTCACATGCGATGAGTCGATATATTAATAATTGTGTCAGCCTGATCTCACGAAGAAATGTAAGTACTTTATATTTTGTCAGTTCAGTCGCAAATTCGT